GATCGTGGTCATGGTGTTCTTGATGAACTGGCTCTTGGTCATCTTGTGTTCAATATCAGCCATATGCAAGTCCGTATTGAGGAGCATGATGGAGTAGCAAATGGTGTGAATGATGTCTGTAACGTAGATTGTCAGCGCAAGAAACACTTCGATTGCATTCCAAGAAGGACTTACCCATTGATTTGAACCCATGATTGGGATTGCATTCACACCATCGGTTGGAGAAAGCGACCAGAATCCGATCAACCTGCTGGGTTTCCGCCCTCAGAAGGAGGCGGTTGCAAAGCTGTCGCAAACTAGCACAAACACTCATGTTCTCAAATTCATAGTTTTCCATGTACGCCCGGAGCGTGCGTTGCCGGACAGGACCCTCCTCACCCATCCATGCGGCCGCCTTGTCTCTGGCAATGAAGTCCTCATTACCTTCGTAAATTTTGAGCGCCTTCTGCCGGTCATCGTCGGTGGGGTCGCCGACCACGAATTGTTCGGGCTCGTCGAGTTCTGATTTGCTGGCCGGCTTGATTGATTCGGCAGTCTTCAAGCCACCTGCGCCCAAGCCCAGCGAATTAGGCTCGGTGTTATCTACCCGTAAACTAGGCAAGCTGGGTTTCTTGCTCGCCTTGGAGGACATCTTGGAGTTCTGACGAGCAGGAGCCTTCAAGTCCTCCTTTGACTTGCCAAGGCTAGGGTAGCTCTTCGACTTGGACACCGTCGGCGAAGAGGATCGTCTTTTCTTTTCCTTTGCTTGACCCGGCCTCAGGCTTAGTTTACGAGACTCGGTGCGAGAAACTGTCTTTGATTCGGGACTGTATTCGCTCTCGCTATCATCGCGCAAGAATGATCTCGGGGGTGAAGTCATGGTTCGATCGAGCGCTGGCCTGCCTGGCATTTCTATTCGAGGCTGTCTGGCTTCAACCGAGTCGCTAGAAGAGTTAGGGTCGATGGCGCGTATCACGGCTTTTGGACTCGGTTCGTAGTCGGGAGAGAATCCTCTTTGATAACTATCCTTGTTCCGTCTGATCTCGGGAGAATCCTCCAAAGATCTGTATGGCGCGCCCGAGTCAGAAGCCTCTGTCGACGGTAGAGGGGCATCGGCAAATGATTCAATAATAGGACTATCCTGCAAGAACGGGTCCATAGCCCGCCTTGAGCTGCCGCCCATGGGACTCGGCTCCGGCCTAGCCATCAGGGTGTCTCGGTTGCCCAGAGTCATTCTGGCTGGCGACTTGTTCGGTAAATGAGGGATCGGCGGTAGTTCCAGTTCCGTGATGGACTGCTTCCGCCTCTTGAAAAAGGACGAAGTCTTCTTTTGCAGCGTATGTGTGACGGTCTGGGGTGGCTCGCGAACAGGTGGGAGGGTTGGCGACTTGAGCGAATTCACCTTACTGCTCGAGCCGTCGTTGGCTGTCGATGAGAGGTATGGGAACGTGGGCGGAGTTTGAGAGTTGGCCTTGGACGAGCCAAACAATTTGCGGAAAAAGCCAGATTTCTCCTTTGGTTGTTGGATGGCTTGGTGTATGGCGCTTATCGGGTTCTCAAGCATAGTATCCTTGGTCTTCTCGTAGCCGACATGGGGAGCAGGCGCTGCGTCCACGTCAAAAGGAGGAATAGAAACCGGAGGAACAGAGGGAACATCGCGCTGGGCATTGTATTTCACTTCGGACTGGCGCACCGTCGATGCGCTCTTTGAAGATCTCATGCTGCGTGGGCGATCAATACCCGGGGCTTTGGGCGTTAATTTGGAGTTGCTCTTTGTGTCTAGAGGCGCAAGAACGGGCAATGACGGGACGGTAGTCAGCCTTCGTGGGCCGGCGGGGACGTGAGGGGTAGGCGCGGCATCGTAGTCGTGCTCGTGGCCGTTGTCAAAAAGGGATTTTGAAAACTCAATGTGCCACGGAGGCTGTTGTTGACTGGTGGAGGGCCTGGCGTCGCCGCAATCAAAGCTGGATGATCTGCCAATGCCTCGGGCCCAGCGCTGGCTGCCAAGGACCTGCGCATAGCCTGGGTCTATGCTGTTAGTGCTGCTGCCTTTGCTGCCCTTGCCGCCTCTCGAATGTATCGCCCGTGGCGTGCCACCCAGCTCGCGCATGCTGTTGATGCGACCCAGGCCTGATTGGTAGCCCGAACTGCTGTTACTCCGGCGCCTGCGCGACGACCTATCCTCTGCCTCGTAATCCGAGCTGTAAGTGTACGCATGTCCACGACCTGCCCTTGAGTTGAACGACATTGTGCGACCGGTGTCGTTTCCGTACGAGTAGATGTTGGAATCGTCAAAGGCGTTCCGTGACCCGCCGAACGAGGTGCCCATCTGCTCCAATGACAGCTTGTCGAGTCCCAGGAGCATGTTTGTGACCAGGGAATCGCGGGTAAACTGGCGGGGCGAGAGCGAAAGGTCGTGCGAGTCGCGATGGGGCGGGCGCGTCGATTCGGGGGAGGGTTCGGAGGGGCGTTCGGAGGGATCGGACTCCTTCGACATGTTCGTGTCGACGGGTCTGAGGCTTTGAAGAAAGGACTCGATATCGGCGGCGTTCCGCACAGGGTCCCTCAGCGAGCGGGCACCAGAGGGAGACCTTCCACTTTTGCGCTTGGGGGGCGTGGACGGGTGGAGGAAGGGGTGCTGCGCGGGCGTGGTTTGCAGAAAGTCGTCGCTGCTGTGCCTCCTGTGATGGCTCGTGTGATGGCCGAGATGGGAAAGGGGAGTCGGAGTATCTCTGGTGTTGATCCTCAAGTCTAACCTTGGGTCAGGGTGCTGGTTGTGGTTCCGCCTCGCATTCGCACTTGGGCGCGCCGTATCTGGAGAATGCATTGTGGTGTACAGCAGCCGGAGCCACTCTGGTCTAGTTCGAGGCAAGCAAGACCCAAGACACACGTTTACTCAGAAGGTAAAAAAAAGTAAAGAGACCGGGATGGATTAGGTTGGGATAAGCAGTGACAGGCTACCGAGGCCATCCACACTGGAGCGAAACTGGAGAGACTGGAACGCGCCCAAGCCAATCCCCGTTGCGCGCAATCAAACGGGCTGATTATTGGCGCGGTGCAAGGGGCATCCACGGACGACGATCGAGGAACGACACAGGAACCCGCTGCGCAGAACCCAATGTGGATGGATCGGATGTAGAGGTAGGTACCGGGCAGTATAGTGGGCGTGTAAAGAGTAGCCCCCCCAAGGGACTGGACAATTGGTGGGATGTCGTGGAGGGTATGTGGTTAGGTCAAGTCGGTTCGTTGTTGCTGAGTATACCTCCCGTCTACATGTAGTTGGTGTACCCGGGCGACTTGCCTAAAGTTAGGTAACCCGGTTCGTTGTCTGTCAATTCTTGACAAACTATGGTCGGACGGATTTGAAATTAAACTTGGGTTGAAAAGGTCACGTCAGGCTGATCCTCTAGGTAATCCATGACACCTTACTAGCACGGCGCTGAAAGTGGGGTATCGCTGGCATGGAAACTTCAGATTTCCTTCCCCGGACTCAGAACTGGAGTCTCCTTGAAAAGTAGAAGCCTTGTGCCTCCCATTACTTCTAAAGCTGCAGCGACGAGGAGAGCGAGAGACCGAGTGAACTGAGCCAACCGCACTCGAACTCCGACTTGACGGAGGTTGACTAAGGTACCTACTAAGGTAAGTATGAAACAAGAGGAAAAAAAACTTGGTCTCAAGGGGACGGAATGGAATGCAGTGCCTGACCGGGACGGAGCGTTCGACGGGACCCAAGATCCTGTGCGGGAGTGCGGGGATTCGCTCCGCACGGTCAAGGTACCACTGATTCAGGTACCAGCCCAGAACCACGGGCAACGAACCAGGGACTTTCCTGGGCCTTGAGTCCATTCCGCGCGCCTCCCTGGCACAAATGCTTCCATGATGCCTTGCTCAGACCAACACATACAACGGAAATAAGTCTGTCTCCAACCAATCTCCGCCGCAAGTCTTTTGTTCTACAGTTTACAACTGCTTCAAAGCCTGGACTCAACTCAAGTCTTGACAGGAAATCTGGAGAAGATCAGATGAACGAAGCAGTGACATGCCCCCTCGTCCCCTCGATGCAGAGGCCCCTTTTTTCGGATATGTACTAAATGCAAGTCACAATGCCGGCATGGCCTCTTGGACGCTCGTTGGCTCACACAAACTGCGCTTTCCCCTTTTGTGCTGCCAAATGAAACTTTAGTGCCCACTAGGTAGAGGTACCCATCAGATTGATGCCGTCCGTGCACATGACCAAAGGGCCAGTGAGTGTTGTCGAATCCATCAGACTGATTCCATGATATTTTCCTTCACGGCAGTTATCTGACTTTGTGAGCGTCTCTCCAAGAACCTCCTCTCCTCAGCCTCCATCGACCCGGACCCTGAATGCTTTTTGGTCTCCGTCATAACTTCAACTCCCCTTGTCCGATCTTCCTGATCCAAGCACGTATCTGAAACGGGCCTGGACTCGAAGAGAGAGGATCGATATCAACCGCGTTCCTGGTTTGGGTTTCGCCAAGCCCCAACCGTTGCAACCTGGGGGCCCACCGAAATTTACCACCACGCTCGGACGAGTCGAGGTTTTGAGCCCCGTCTCTACCCCTGGAACTATTTACTACTGCGTACACTAAGGGGTCTTCTCAGGGGTTGCAATATCCGATAGACCCTTTTGGAAAATCTGCCTCTCTCTCTTTTTCCTATATCCGTTTGTTAGGTAGGTTTCCGAGCTGTCCAACAAGGCAATTGCCTTTTTGACGGGACAGGATAGACCGAGAGAAATAGCTGTTGTACAACCATCCGGAGGGTAATTAAAATAGCATGTCATGGCAATCTCCTGATGTGGTTCAAACTCCATAATAAGTATCAACCAAACTTGCAGCTACTACCTTTAGCTAGGTAGGCAGACCTAAACAACAAAGCGCTGGAGAAAAACACGGGACCGACCACCATGCCGAGTGAGTCCACTGATGTGCCCTTGTTGTTGTGGGTGACCTCCACCTTTAACAAGTCATCCACCATGCACACACCTGGCACCATCAGGAGGACGCTTGACAACCACGTTTTCACTCTGTCTAGGATCATCAGATCGTCGCCATATTTAGCCCCAGCAATGATGGTGGTTCCCAATATCTATCTCCAGGCGACTAAACGACTCGCCGACCGAAATGCCTAGCATGCAATTTTCTATCGAAGCCACTTGACACATTCCGTCCAGTTGCCAAGTCAAGAGACTGATCAGCCTATGCATATCACATGCCGTTCAGGCCTATATGATGGCGGGCGATGAGAAATGAGCCCCGCAATTTCAACAGCAATCGTCTCTTGTGGTTCGTCAGTGTCCTGTTCCCCCTTGTGGACTTTTTGTTTCTTTTTCTTTGTTCTCTCCGTTGCTGCAATATCTCGACGACATGTCAAACTCCCAATTAACCCTGTGCACTCCCGTCTTTTGTGGCTTTGGAGTTCCACATGGACCCAAGTTCTTGAGGCTGAACATGAACATCTGAATCTCCTTGGGCCAAGGGTAGGTGGTCTGTATGGAAAAAGGAGGTCTTGGTAATGCTTGAAGGTACTACCTGCTACCCTATTCGACTCTTCTCGTGTCTCGTCTTTTTCTCTTGACTTTTCAAGGCCGCTAGAGGGTAGGGACAATCAAAACGCTGTTTTGCATACCTAATATTTCTGGTGAGCATACATATTGCAGTATAAATACTCTGTCTGGCATATCTCACGGTGTTTACCTATAGTATTGATTACTCGTCAGGTCTTCAAAATCGACCGTCTGACTAGTGGGCGAGCAGCTGGTTTCCCAAAACGAACGGTCCGGGTCTTTGCGGTAGTTTATCATTGGTACTACCCAATGAACTATATGCCTGCCGCAAGCAATCAATGCAGATGCGGATTCCATATCAATCATCCACAACACCCTGCAGCGTAAAGCTCAGCAGCACTACTATCTTTAGTCGGTACATAGGCGGAGGAAGGAATGCACCAAATCACAACCACTGGTCACTTTGGCGGAGTGGTTAATGCAGTGGCTGCTACTTGCAAGAAGGCTTGGGTGATTCCATTATTTTCAACCAGTCGCAATGTGTAGATCTCTGTATTGATATCCACTACATCATCTACACTGTCCTGAAGCATCCGGCTTTGTACATACAACTACAGCCTGCAAGCTACCGTATAATTTCGAGGAATTCGGATTCCAGGTAAGGCACATACGCCTGGTGCCCATCTGGAAAAGGGTGCCAGATTCTGCCCGCTGCACTCTCAAAATGCCGCTTCATGTCATGCAGATACTACGCAAAAGGGTGAGGGAGTCAATGGTCCCGAGTGGAGGTCTATATAGGTACGCAGCTAACGACGATGATACAGGGCAAAAGAACAATAGGGAGGGAATAGTAGAGAGGACAGGGACTGGGCTTCAAAAGGATCGAGCGAGCGACTAGAGGGTGGGGTAACCCAGAATCATTTTCCAATGCAGCGAGTACAGAGAGCATGAAATGCACATATATGCTAAATAAGCCATCTTCTTTCTTGCTGGGCACCAGGTGTATATGCCTGACCTGGAATCTGAGTTGCCCGAGATCATAGTGCGGGATACCCATTGGGGGTTAGGGTTTTTTTTTCTGGGTATATAGTTTTGGTTTTTGACCCATTAATTCAACAACAACGACTAGTCGCTTTGGCGGAGTGGTTAACGCGCTGCCCTGCTATTACCTAATATGCTAGGCAGTTCTTTCGAGAGCGCATGTTCGAATCATGCAGGCGACGTTTGATTTTTTTAGTTTTTTTTGCTTGTTCTTGACGTCTAAATGATCCCTTTTTGTTGTTTTTGATGCTTTCCTTTTTATATCGGTTGAATTGGAGTTGGAATGGTCATGATACGCTTGTTGTGAGGTGTGGTGGTGGTTTTGCACTCGGTTCAGTTTGCAGAAATGTACAAGTGCATTCGCTTCGCTCCTTCCACAAGGTGACAGTTACTTTTTTGGGGCGGCAGGGACAGAACACCCAAGTAGAAGGCCTTTGGTTCCTCCTGCTAGTTTCTCTGATATCGAGTCCGTGACTCCCTTACGACAAGTGACGGGCCTCGTTCCTTCCACCTGTGGCAGTCGTCACCCACCTGCCTCTACACTCATCCAACTGTCTGTTTTATTTTACTTTTTCCTCTGCCAGGCGGAAGGACATTCCCTTTTTTCTTTTTTGAAAACCTCCAAGGCACTTGATTTTCTTTCTCTTTTTACAGTCATCCTCGCCATGTCGTCGAGCTCTTCATTCGTCGCAGATGCAAACACGGGCCTGGTCACGGTTGGAAATCACAATATCTATAGTCGCTGAATGTCTGCACTACAAAAACTTTCTGAATCAATCAAAACTCCATGCCTCGGCCGAGATTCACTGCCCGGCATCCAATCGTTGTTGAAGCTGATGATGCCAAAGAAAAGCTCCCGGCTTTACCGCGCTGATGGAGTTATAAATATCTTCCACACGCCTCATATGCCTGACCCCAACGGAGCATGGAAATCCCGGGTTTCATACATGCTTAGCAATCTTCGAGCCAGTCAGTGGCTCCTATCGCGGTTCAGCGTTGAACATGGTTTGGGACGAACACCAACGAAATACAGCTGAGAATGAGTCTCGTTTCATCAGACACCAAACTGGCGAAAAGATCTCCCTGGTTGAATAACTGGACGCGGTATTGTAAGCGATCCCGAACGTGCCACCCTGCTACAGCCTTGAACGGCAGTGCCTCTATTCGAGACAACGCTGCTCATTCCTCGCCATCCTCATCCTCCTCTGGCTCCCCCTCCTCTGGCTCCCCCTCATCAAGATCCAACTCCTGCTCTTCCAGCCAAAAGTCTTCATCCTCTTCTCCACCCCCAAATTGGGTCTTCGTCATGCTCTCCGTCTTCATTTTCTTATTCTTCTCGAACCCCTTTCTCTTCTCCATCAACCCGTCGAGCCGTTCAACTATTCTCTTCTCAGCTTCCTTAAAGATCTCCTGAAAAAGCTTCCCTGCTTGCTCGTTGATGAGCATCCTAACGAACGGGACGGTGATTTCGGTTATTTTGAGCATGTTTTCGAGATCGTGTTCTAGATGGGGAGCTTTGGGTACGCGTGCAGGCCCGTTGCTGCTCGAGCTGGTAACTCGGAGAGTCTCGCCGTGAGCGACGCTATCGCTCAAGACTTCGACAAGCTGCTTGAAGCAGCCGCCTTCTCCTCTCTCGACGTGACGTTCGCATGTTACCGGGAAGAAGCCATGTTCTTTGCCAGCGCCAGGGCTAGGCTCCGAACCCGAACTTGGGTTGCGAAAGCTACCAGAAAAGTTGCGTTTTATGCCCCTATTCTCAGCCACCGGAGCAGCACCCGCAGAAGCAGCAGCAGGTCCCACATCAGCACCAGAGTCAGCAGAACCGGCAGTAGCAGTAGCAGGAGCAGGAGCAGCAACAGCAACAGCAACATCAGCAGCTTGTGCCGCCGCCGCGCGCTCACACGTTTCTTGATAAAGGTACGCAACCAGCTCCAAGCCTGTCCACAACCGGTCAGGCGGCATGGCCGGCTGGTGAACGTGAGCGGCATGAGTTTGCGTTCGGGGGTGGAAGTAGCCATCGTAGACGTCAGTAGGTTCGGGAGTCTCGTCCTCCTCGGATGGAGAGTTTAAGGAAGAGTCGTTGTTGATGATACTCCCACCATTCCCACCATTCCCGCTAAACCACACCCTCCTCCTCTTCCGAGTCTCCATGCCCTCCGCCCAAACACCAGCACGATTTCCCTTCGCTCCAAACTTCATCAACAGCTTGACAGCAGCCACAGGACAGGTCTTCCAGGTCCATACAATAGGGCTAATTGAACCTGGGTCTGCAGACATGTGGTCTGGGCGATGGTCAAGAGCTTCACCGGTATAACGACTGGTCTTGGGATTAAAGGCCGTCCAGAGCACGGATTCAAGAACGGGCGTGAGGCTGGGAATTAGATCCTTGTTGCCGTGCCAGAGAAGTTCTTCGGCAAAGGTCAAGTCGTGGGTGAGAAGGGCTTCCTCGAGGGCGGAGGTGAGGAGGGGACGGATGAGCCGGAGGGAGGGGAGGTACTCATCACGGAAGGAGATGATGGTTTTGGAGGGAGATGGTGCTCTTGTGCGAACTGGGAGAACTGTTTGGTTGATGGTGCCGGCTTTATCAGTGTCATTTTGTGGGTCGTTGACCCTTTTGGGAACGACCTCCCTGGCAGGAACCTCGCCGGTGATGGCCTTTTTGTTCGGCGTCACCTCTTTCTTTTTGGGAGTCACCGTGAGACGCGTGATCAGATGCCGATAGCGGTTAAGAAACGGCTTGATGACTCTTATGTTGCGGGTTTGGAGGCCATATTTCAGGGTGATAAGGCGGCCAGAGCGAAGATCCCGGTGGACCAGCGTGTAGTACAGCTCACCGCGGAGTTTTTGGCACGTGGCTGACAAGTTGACAATATCTCTGCGGTCGGGGAGAAAGTCGCAGATGCACATGAGGAGTTCGACGGGTAGTCGAGGTGCAACGATGGAGCTGCTGCGCGTAGTAGTGTTTTCGGCGCTGTTATCGACGCTGTTATCGACGCTGTTGTCGACGCTGTTGTCGATGGCGTAGCTGGGCACAGGAGTGCCATCGCTGCTATCGACAAACACAGGTTCAGAGAGGGACATTATGATATAGCCGATTATCGGACGATAGGTCAAAGAAGCGAGCGACAAGATTGCCCGAGGGCACCGGACGAAGTAATGCTTGAGGTGAAGGGATAGAGTCGTATCGAGTCTTTGGATGGCTGCGCCTTTGATCAAGAGAAGACGACGGAAGAAGCCTTGATATGGTAAGGTCTGTCGTCTTGTGAAAGGTATAGGCCAAAGGGTGCTTGTGATGGACTTGACAGCGTCCGAAGTCGGCTGACGTTTTATTTCAGGTTGCCGGTTGGCCGAAGGTTCAGATCAGCTTACCACGAGTGAATGGTAAAGGGCAAGATGCAGGAGTTAATTTGTTGGGACGACGTCGAATTGCGTGGGAGGCAGCTGGTGGCAGAGGTGATTGACAGCTGATATATCAACCTTGAGCTGAAAAACGAACCTGATACTTGAAGGTTTTCGATATGTTCCGGTCCTGGTGAAGAGCTCTTCGATCTGATCTCGGTGGATGGTGTCGAGAGGAGGCAAGGTGTAGAAGGTTAATATGGAGAACCCTAAAAAGGCCACATATATTTCGAGGGAAGGGCACTGCCGCAACGCCGGCCGACTACGAAGTGGAGGTGAGATGTCCGGTATATGTCCTCCTGCACTCTCCTGCGGTCTGCGAGATCAAGGTTCTGCGACGCCAAGTTACATATGTGCAAGTGAAGTGGCTGACCTTGATCCTTCACTTCGCCACTGAACCCGAGGAAGCATGTTTCGCAGAACCTGATGGCCGCCGACCTTAAATAGACTCAGCGAAGCGGGATTGCCTGGTATCCACAACCATAACTATAGGGTGCTGCTGTAGCTGTTTTATACCATCGTGGTTGCTTGTGTCAAAAGGTTCAATCCGAGATGGCTGTTCCGTACGAGATGGATCTTCAGTTGCAGAAGTTCTAAATGATGCCATGAACCTGTCAGTATCTTCGTTTCTTCGAATATCAGGCGCTGAAGTACCTTCCAAGGCGATGAAAGTGCTCAGTCGACTAATCTGTTCATTTGGAAAAGGTTCATCAGCAACAACGCCGAATAGTAGTGAACGAAACGCCGCTGTTCTCACGATGGTGTCGATGACAAGGCTGCTATGACGTCGTGTTACCCAGAAGGAAAGGGGACGGACGTACAGATATCGGATATATATACTTGAGCCGCACAGCTTTGGGATTGGTTGAGTTTGTTCCGAGGATGTGGTACCCGCTATCGCCATGAGACAGACACCCACGCGATATTGTACAGTACAAGTCACTCGTCGCGGTAGTAGTGAGTGGTTGGATACCTTGGGCGCGCGTGTGGCTGGCTCATGGGTGCCTACCTAGGTAGATAGGTAGGTATTGATGGACTCGTCGGGCAGTCTTGATTGCTTCCCCAATCTCCCACCATGTCTAGGTACCTAGGATAGTTACACCCATCTCAGCAAGCGATGACTTGACAAAGTTGGAAGAGGTAAAACAAAAAAGAAAATGTCATGCTATACGGTACCTGTGTCCATTCCACAATGACCGGTAGGTATTCATGCCCCAAAAATGGTAACCCGAAGCCATCCATCCGATCCGATCCAAAGTGACAACCCAGGAACTTTATTTTACAAAAGTAGACCAACTCACCCTAACCGACCAAGAACGCCTAACCAATCCGTCCGTCACGCTCCTTCCAGTGTTCAAAATGCATACAATCCAGATCTGTGTAGCCTGGTTTGCTTGTATCACGGACTTTCCTCCTTGATAACAGTCAATCTGCCGCTGCCCAGCCTGCGTTGTGGCGCCCGTGTAACCCGATAATTGCCCAGTCTCGCTGTCAAAAACCTATTCTGTTGTGGCTCGCTCTTCAAGTTATTTGCTCTTTGTGCTCTTCCTGGTCCGCTGCGCTTGATAACCTTGCTGCGTCTCCGGGGTCTCGCCCCGCGTCCCGCCCGCCTGTTGGCGCTCATTTTTTCAACTTTGTCCTTTTCCATCATGGTTCTCAGAATGTCTCTTCCCAAGTCCCTTGCCTTGTCGTCATTCATGTCGAGTCCGTATAAGGTTAGGAATTTCCACTCCGTTTTCCAGTTTCTCTTGAGGAATTGCTTCTCCTCCTGAGTATATCGCCCGTCGCCCGGGTGTTGCTTGCGTCTCATACCAGAGCCAGGATCGACAGTGTTGTTGTTGTTGTTGCTGCTGCCGTTATCGTTGCCCGAAACAAAGTTCGGATCGGCCTCATCATCATTGCCGGTGTCGAGCGTCGCGCTGCTGGCATCATCTTCGCTGTCTTTATCCACATCTCTATCCGCGAGCAAGTTTTGCATCTCCCGCTTCAGACTCCATTTGTCCAGTTCATCAGCGGCCCATTGCGCAAAGATGCTGAAGGGTAAACTTTCGGGCCACGCTTTAAGAACCGACTCCCGTGTTATCGGTCCGATCGGCGGCCCGCTCAGTTTCAGCGTGAACAATACGTGGTCTGGATCAAAGTAGGCAACCATTTTTCCCGTGTGGTCTTTGATGCAGCCTTTCATCAGTTCCTTTTGCTGCGTCTGCCCCGTGTGGTGGCCTTCTACCTCTTCACCGTCCATGACTGAGTAGCTCCTACTTTCGCCCCGGGCTGGAAAGATGTACACGGAGCACGACTGTCCATCGATGTTTGGGATCTTGGCGAGGATATTGCAGGTCGCGTCGGGCACGTGTAGGACTGTTCTGAGAGGGAGGATGCTCTGATTTCGCCGGCCGGTGCGCGCTGGGTGGCGTTTGACGTTGAGGTTGACGGTACCGATGCCGCGGACGGCGAGGTTTTGACCGCTGATGCAGACGGTAGATTTGAAGGGGGTGTAGGTGGTGAACCATTCGCGGTCTTTGGCTACGCTGTTGGGCGAAAAGAGAAAAGGTTAGTCGCGTGCGGTGGAATCGGGTCAGAGAGGACTGAGGTCCAGGAGGGCCAATGGCACATACCTCACGTTGGACATGGTCGACCACACCCAGTCTGGACAGAGCATAGGTATGGAGGGGTGTGTACGTGCGCCGAGGTTCGTAGGACCTTCATCTTTTTGGGCGCGTCGATTTCTGATCTTCTTTTGCCTCTGATTTCGAGGTTTCCTTGAACTTTGCTTCCGTACGGCGAAGTTCGGCATACCCGCGGCAGTCATAGGGGAACCAGAGTGGTGGAACGAGACTGGCTCGCCCGTAGGTTTTGAGATATCGTGGCCCATGGTGTGCGCGGGGCGATCTGGGATGGATTTCGAAAACCGGGTGGAAGGTATCGTCTGATAGCAGGGGGTCTATCACATCAGGTCGATGAGAAATGCTATAGTGAAGACAGAGAAGAGAATAGGCTCCGTAGTCTAGGAGCTCTTGGATCTTTGGTGCAAATATCAACAAAAGCTTCATCATTCCGTTTCTCAGCTAACAATGATCGATGTGTTTCCTTACTGTTTGCGCCTAGCGCCATCCACAGCGGGGTCTTAGCGTTGTCTAGTGGAAAGACCCTTGTGGGGTAGGTACCTGCAAACACACTGAATATTTCCCCTTTAGGGGAGCACGGCCCGGGCCGGGCCACCTACCTCAGCCTCTTGTCATCCATCGGGCACTTCCTCAACCAACAGCGGCACCTCTCCTAGACCATTGTGCTGAATCTTGATGGGAGAAGCTTCAATCCTCAACCCATCATTCATCACTTCAACAACCCAATCCTATCATTTCCCAGGCTCTGGTCATTACCTAGGTGGGAGTTGAAAAGAGCGGCAACATGATGCAGACAAGGCTTCAAAAGACGAAATGGCCGGATGACGAAAGCGGCGGAAGTCTTGTGAAAGATGCATCATGTATACAACAGATTACAATGAGACATGACAAGCATAGTGAATATCGGAGTCTGGGGGTTGCAAAAAGAAGTCGACCCAAAATTTGACTCTATATGCTATGTTTCGCTATGTATACAGACAGAGCAACAATGGCTCCCAATGCAAGGTCGATCAATAAAAAAAAATATCTACCAGAGAAATGAAAAGAACCTCCCCATCACTGATCAACAGCTCTCCCCGTCCTTCAACAAAAACACCATCGCCCACCACATCTTCAAACAAGCGAGGCAACTCAACCTCTCTCACTCTCTTCTCCGCCTTTTACTTAGTGCTTACGAGCGGCGCGCTTGCAGCCCTTCTTGGGAGCAGAGCTGGCCTTGCCCACAGCAGCAGCGCTGGTCGCGCTCACAGCAGGGACCGTCGCACTAGGGGCAGAGGCCGGAACACTAGGGGCGGAGGACGCAGCAGGAGCAGGAGCAGCCGGGCTCTGGGCACCACCATCGCAAGTGGCAACAGCGGGACCGGGGTTGGTATAGCTGGTAGGAGCAGGGTAGTAGAGGTTGAACAAGAGGCCGGGGTCGGTGGCCTTGTACGCGCCGGGGAAGGAAACCAGCTTGCCGCTGGTGTTGATGGTGCCGGTGCCGCCCGTCACGTTGAGCTGCGCGCACGCAATGTACAGCTGCGCGCCACCGACGGAGCCGGCGCTGTGCAGACCAATGTGCTCCACACGGAGGAGGTACTCGCCGGACTCAAGGCAGGAGGGGAGCTTGACGGAGACCTCGGTGGCGCCTGTGGGAGAAGGAGGAGGTTCCGGTTAGCATCATGGATACATATGTAGGTCAGGGGCCGTTCGGGATGGGATGAGGGAGGGAGAGATGAAAAAAGTCAAGACATACCAGCACTAGGCCACGTGAGCTGGCCGGTTCCCAGTCCCGACGGTCCATCCTGGTAAATCTTGAACCAAACGGCGCCCTTGCCGTCAAAAGTGGCAGCCGTCTTGCCCTCGGGGACCTTGGCCATATAGAAGTGCAAGGGACCGGGATGGCCGATGTTGTCGCCGACGACAAACGTGTAGTTGGATCCGGCCGCGACGGACAAAGTCTTGGGGGCGCCAGTGCCGGGGTTGAGCTCGTAGCAGGTCATGGATTCCGAGGTGACGTCGGCAACGGGGCCGCGGCTGTAATGGTTCTCGGTCATGCGGATGTGTTCATATTCTCCGGAGACGGCGCCAGTGGAGTAGCCCTTGGGGAAAGTGTCTGGCAGGAGGTGTTAGTCAAGAAAAGGTTGACAACCTGGATATCAAGTTCCAGTGGTAGGCAGAAGGGAACTCACAGTGAGCCTGGGCTCCGGCCGCAGCCAGGAAAGCGAGAGCGCTGCTGAACTTCATGGTGGATAGTAAAGACTGTGGTGGAACGAGAGTAAAGATTGTGAAGGAGAGTAGAAGAAGGAACGACTGATGCTGATGATAGTAATAGCACCATAAAGAAGAGCGGGAAGATGTGATTTTATATTCCTTAGACATTGTCTACTTCTTTCACCTCTCGCACCATCAACCATCCCCCTAAAGACCCGTACTCGTTAAGACCGCTTACAGATTACGAGTCCTGCAATCTCAGAGTCGAAGACTCCTCCCGACTCCCGGTGGTGTTTATCCATGAAATGCTACCTTAGCCTTCCATCCGGCGGCAGAAAGTCCATGTCTTTTTGCGAGATCGTACCCGACGTATTTGTTTCCATCGTGGCATACGCATGGGGCGTGTCGATAATCCTTGGGGGATGGGTGGGGGGACATGGTCCGATCGGTGTTCTCCTCTGCCAGGAGGGAAATTCAAGGGTAGCGGTCCGGACCATGGCCATGGAAGCGAAGCCTGTTCGACAGGGGTAAGGTAACACTCGGCGGAAGCATGTGAGAAACACCAGCGAACTTCCATGAAAGGGGGTGAACGTTCATGGCGCTTGACAATGGCAAGTCGGCAATTGATATTCTTCCCACAACCCTAGGGAACTTTCAACATCTTCGTCAGGAGAAGCCATGACCGGAAAGGTGGCGTCGCAAGACACCCGTAGACCTTGCCTTGCGAGGTGTTGCAATACCGAGCCGGGATTGTTGAATATGCGCGATGTGGTTCACTACAGCTAGCTTTGTTGCCAGAAGCTAGGGAAGAGGAAGCATTCAACCGAGATTGTAGTTGTCGATGCGGCTCGATGTTCCGAGCAGTGGTGTTGTCGAGATCCAAGCTAGGCGTCTCCTTGGCCAGGGATACAGTATCATCAAACCCCTGATAGTGCAAACCCCCAAATTACAAATACTAACCCATAGTGCGCCCCCTCTTTTGGTGCACTTGCGCTCTTTGGTGGCTAGAATGTGCTTTGTGGTCTGTGCACCAGATCCCCTAGTTGCAAACACCCACAAAGTGCAAACAAATGCAGTATCCATCGAAGAGGATGAAACATGTTTGGTAGCGTAGTATTTGGAACGCGGGTAAGCATTTGTGAAACGAAACTTCGGAACACTCGACTCCATCATGTCCATTTCGGGCATCGTTCGTCCCCTGATCCCCTCCGTTGCCCTTGACTCTTGGCAGGAACAAACCTATCGTACGGGGATGCCGTTATGCGGATGGACGCGGGCGGTAAAAAGAAAAGAATGCAGAAGTCGACCACGTTGGAATCCATGTGCCGAACTAGGACATGAAGATGTACCTTTGCGATTGACTGCATGAGGCTCTCAAAGGAGTCTGTCACGGGCCGAAGCGCCTACCATACTGGGGTTTCTGAGCAGCGCTTGTGTAAAAGTACCTACGTCGGTATCTACATTCGCGTCGGTAAACGAACTGATCTAGGTATGCCACTGCACTCTCTACCTGTCTCAATCACTATCCGTCTCCAGAACAGCAACACTCAGTTGTGGGAGAGTGAAAGAAAAGGTCCCTCCCTCCTTCGCCTTCAACTTGGTCTTGGTCTCCTCCACCACGTTGTTATGCTTCCACGGATCGTTGTACTCGTACGGATTGGTCGGACCCGTCAGGACCGTCAATGTAGCGGTCGCTGTTTTCTTATGCGGCTGCTTTACTTTTCCACCAAGTCCCGCGAACTGGACAGAGACTGCAACTGGCTCGGTAGAGTTGTAGACAGCGGCCTTGAACACGCTGCTTCCCCTTTCCGTCTCTCCAGCGACGTAGTAGAGCGGTCCGATGCCACCGGTCGCGGCGGTGACGGAAAGCGTCTTGGTTATGGCAGTGGTGCCCAGCAGCTGATATGAAGATCATTGTCAGTCATCTATCTGTATGGGAGCGAACCCCCCCCCCCCCCCCCAAAAAAAAAAAAAAAAAAAAAAAAAAAAAAAAAACAAAAGAGTTGATGGACATACCTTCCAAACATGGTAGCTGGTTGACAGCGTGGTCAAGGATGGGTCAGCAGCATGCTGAATCTGTGTCATGGCCCACTGCCAGCGGTTGAGGTTGCGAAGACCCGGGGCGTAAGTGGCGCCGATGACTTTATCACCATTGCGCTCCAGTCCGAGCAAAAAGATGGCTTCGCCGACACTGCCTCCCCACCAAGGGAAAGGCATAAGGTTACCTTCCCAGCCGATACCGCCGTTGGGGTGTGTTGATGCTGCCTCGCCTGGATAAAAAGTCAGTATCACGTCTAATGTCCTAGGGTTCCAACATGTAGTGGACATACCAATCAAGGTCAAGTTATCCCTCGTCAGACTATCAAACTTGTTGAAACTCAACACCATGTTATCTGGTGTCAAGTACGGGTGATAATCTCCACCAGCCGGCTTGGGAATAGTCATGCCATCGAAGACTGACGGCGAGGCGATGAGCTGGATCTCTGGGTACTTTTCCTGGAATGCCTTGAAAAAAGCAGGGAACCGATATTTCTTGTAATTCTCGAAGCCTGTAGAGCCGCCGCCCAGCCAATCCTCGTTACCAATCTCCACGTATCGGATCTTCCAGGGACGCGTGTGGCCGAGAATGGAGGCGCGAATGCCACCCCAATGTGTGGAAGCGTCGCCGGTGAGGAATTCGAGCTCATCGAGTGCGCTTTGGACGGCCTCGTCAATGCGAGATTCAGGGAGCTCGCCCCCGTCGAGAGCAAGGCCACTCCAAACGGCGAGAACTGGACTAGATTGTTAGGGATTTGCAGTGCTTGAGAATGGAGGAGGGTAAAAACTGACTTGGCTCCAAGTTGAGGTCCTCGCACCATTGCATGTATTCAACCAAACCCAGTCCAGCACTCAGAGGGTATCCCCAGACGCCAGCTCGGCCGGGACGGTTCTTGAGATCCCCGATCGTTTCGTTCCACTTCCACCAAGTTGGGAGGGTGTTGCCCTCGAGCATGTTACCGCCAGGGAAGCGAAGGAATTTCTGTCTTCGATGTTAGATCCTCTTCGAGGTAGAAGTGGGTATTGAACAACACCTTACCGGCTTGAGTGCGGCCAAAGCCTCCATGATATCGACCCTCAGCCCATTTGGCCTGTTATTGTATGTCGGCGGGAACAGACTGATGAGGTTAAAGTCTAGTGAACCACCACGGACGCCCTGCATTGTGTTTATCAGCGTCTTCTGGTCCCCTATATAACGATCATGATGTCGCGGTAGCTTACTGCAGCGTCAAAAGTAATTGCAAACGTGTTGTTGCTGTTTGGTGCCGCCTTTTCAGGAACCAAGTTGAAGTCGAATTTTACCCAATCATTGCCAGCCTTCTTGACAGGTACGTTCGTGGTTCCAAACACTTCGCCAGTCAAAGCACTTTGGAGCGAAGCTGTAAAGAATTTTCCCTGGTAAGCGCCCTTGACGTAGAACGACCCAGTGTACTTTTGGACTTTGACATCCATTCCCCAGTACCCGGCATTGGCAAAGCCAACTGTCTTGTTCGAAGATGATGGAACCGCTACGTTCATGGAGTAAGGAAGAGCCGCAGAGAGCGGCTGAGAAAGCTTCTTCAGGCTGAGTTTGGCACCGTTGACGGCCGACCAGCCGTCGAGAGTGACTGGGTAACGGGACTCATCGCCGGACTGAAAAGCGCGGTTACGGATGAGCTCGGCGTAGATGCCGCCATCGCCGGAGTTATTGATGTCCTGTAGTGTTTGTGAGCGAGACTATCTTTACACCCGCTTGGTCAAGAGGCAAATGAGGGCAAAAAGTACCTCGTGCATGAGTCCATACATAATCGGCGAGGAAACATTTCCGCCATCGGGCCGGACAATGAGATCAACGCGCTTGTCGGCAGAACATGGTTGTAGGGAAGTGAAAGTCAGGAGAACTGCCCACAGGCTAGGGTTTAGGTGAAAATGCACCATGCTGACGACGGCTCGAGAAACACGACAGCTTCCGACAACATTGGTCTTTCATCTAGGCTCGTCCGTGATGTATATACTCGAAGGCATCGGGTCAGAGCTGGTCTCATTCTTGAACTGCCGGTACCGCACGTCTGGGCATATCCATTTCTGATCATCCTGTGGTCCAGACGATGGCCTTGGCCGCGTCCGTATTGCGGTGCTATGACGAACGCGCCGCAACAGTCACATGCACCAGTTGAACAGAACATGGCAACAAGATGCTCGATGATGATGTTGGAGATGGTCGCTTATGGCTCTTCCCCGCCCTTCCCCGGGTTCTTGGGCTCTCCAACTTCCTGTAAAGTACAAGCGCGAGGAGACTATTCGTGGATAAAGGCCGGTTGTACGTAAAACTGATCACTACCTCGTCGATTCAAGGTTGCAATGGGCACGGTCCGCAGGTACCGCTACCGGATAATATACACTACTTAGCCGAGAGCGACACGCGGTGATGGGTTGCGGTGTCAATATGCGCCCCAATGGGAGCTGTGGACGCTCAACTAACATACTCGGAAACGACAAAGTTCTGTCATTCGCGGTCTGCAATATAGGACAGATGAACGGATAAGGTTTTGGGCCGTGGCTGGATATGGAGTGGTCGTCAGAATGAACAGAGTCAACAGGACAGATGGAATACGGGGATTCAGGTAGGTATATCTGTTCCCGCCTACCCGGTCTTTTCGACCACTTCTCCTGCGAAGACATAGCCTGCTCTTTGCCAACAGCCAGGCCCATCCATTTCCCGCGATGAAGGAAAGCCATCCAGATGTTTTTGACAACTGGTAAGCTTTCGATTCTCATCGCATTAATCGACGGCTACTTTGAATTGGAAAAAGACTCCACAGCAAAAAAATGATGTAACAAAATTACGCTTGCCATGTGCTTTTCACTGGCAGCACGTCCTGGATCAAGTGCCATTCACCATCGGAATACTGAGTAGGGACAGGGAGGTCAAAGTGCGAGTGATGAAGTGTCCAGGGCAGCAATGTGAGGTGTGTCTCTTGAGAGATAAGGGTGCCTGTAGAGGTACCTAGTGTACTCTAGAGTTGCCCAACACCAACAAGCGGCAGGGAGGCTAAAAAGACAGTGTGATCAGCTCAAGTCCCTACCCGAGACCCCGCATTCAAACAGTGGGCCTGAGTAGATCTGCAGATCTGACAGTCCGCTGCAGGTGGCGTCCCCGTCCATCCGTAGAGGTGCCTGTACTGACCTCTAAACGCCAGTGAACTTCGGCTCGAAACTTCGACGGCTTTCCCGTTCACTTCAAAATCGCAGCTGGACACTCTTCACCATCCGCACCACCACACGCCGCTGCTGTCTGAGGGAAGGAAGAGGACATCTGGATGTGATTACTATCCGTTAGCTCCTAATACGACATTTGAACGAGTCCATCAATATGAGTTTGATCGCCAAAATCGTCACCATGATGTGGTTCAAGGTCGAGGTTTGTTTTCCACCTGTCGCCATTCCATCGTCGGAATACTAAAACATGCTCTCTATCACTGCTTTAGGACGCCCTCGTCGCTCGAATTCTTCAAATGCCCCAGTTCCACCATGGCGTCCGCAAGATCCACCGCACCGTCGAAGAGTTCCGTCACGGTCGTGATCCCAACGAACCACTGCGCGAAGGCGAGGCTACCGAGGATCCCAATCTACAGAAGCCACAAGTTCAGAGCTTCGTCAAATTCTTTATCGAAGAAATGCGCAACCAGGCGCGGGGAACGCCAACCGACATCGATAACCAGCCTTTACCTCCCAAGAAGCGACCGTGATCCTGTCTGTCGTACCAGACCCCTGCGAACCTGACGCCTCCCATTCATCCGGTCGGCACATACTATCATGATGTTTGAGATACTGATGGACCGAGAGAGAGTTGGGATCATGGTTCAGGATTTAGAAAGACGGACAAAACATACGCAACAGGCGAGAATGATGGACCTCGAAAGATCCACTTGGGCCCGATGCTACCTACATCATCCACGGCCGACTACACCTACGAAAGGCGGCTCCAACGCAACCGCAATATGCAAGCCGCGACGGAGAGGAGTGGTTTATGATATACGCCCTTGGCATATTTGATTGAGATGGTGATGCAATCCATGGGATGCGAGTTGCGATGAAGCACACTGCTGCGGCACTAGTTTGGGTAATTTCGCCACATCGGACTATGGTTCATGAATACGATACACAAAACCGACAACATTATACACCCCATTTTTGTCCGGGTGTTGGAGCATTGGCGTGGTTTCACGGAGTTGCCTTGCGGCACGCCTGGTTAGGTTTATAACACCGTCAGTTTGGTGGAAGAAACAGCGGTCATGCCGTTGTCCAAAAATCTACAAGTCATCAAGATCAATGTCTCGGACTGTCTTCGTAGTTCTTCAGATGCGCACATTGGCCACTCGAAGTAGATCCGCATGCTCAACGCCACGAGCTTTTCTCAACACGAATAGATTTCATGGTACACCACCTAACCAGGGAAAAGAGACGATCCATCGGCTTGACGATCTCTGAGCAACCGTCACTCCAATGGCATCAAGGACCTTGTGTCAGAGCCGAGTTGTCACCTGCTTCGTTCTTTAGAACCCATGAGTTCATTGTCTCGTCACATTCTCATTGCTTTCTATGAATTAGCTCAACACTTCACTCTCATGGAGCTAAACAGTTGCTCAGAAGTTTCAATGGTACCTGTTGCCAACAAGTTCAATGGAAATTAGGTAGGACCGTCGAGTTGTTGACTTCAAAGAAGACACAGACACACATTTGCCTTTGCTCGAGTGTATTAATCCAGCTTACCCTCTACTCGTCATCTTCCCCTTTCGAGAGACCTTTCGACACTGAATGTCGCGCCAAAGAATAATGGAGAATCAGAATTTCTCAACAGGCAGGCTACGAAACACATGACGCTTCGCAGGCCCTAGACCGACATCGGATGAAAATATAAACGAGGCGACAAGCAGCACCTAATGGCGCGACCCTTCACTCTTTCCGATTGCAAAATCACGCTGGCCGGACAACGCGAATCTCGATTATAAAAACAATATGAGTCGGCGGTTTTCCCCCACCAAGGTTCTCTTCTCCTACGACCACAACACCACCATGCTCTCGGAGTATATCAAGTCAAAGCAAGGTATCTCTGTCTCATTTCTCGTCATATCCTCAACCTACTAGACTAGTGTCTATAGGCCTACCCACATCAAGCATCAACTTCACCAGTTGAACTTGTCGCTTTTGACCTCAACGTCAACAGAGCAACTTCGCCTTTCAAGAGCACAAAAACACGTGCGAAGTGCAGTCATCACGAACCCCGGCCCCTTTCAGTTTTTGCGCTCCTTGATCGCGCTGTGCTACGACGGCTCACGTCGCGACATCAGCTTTTGCTTCCATCTACACAGAACAGACCAAGGTTCTGCTTCCCTTTTCTCCCGGAGCACATAGCCTTGCCTTCCATCCGATCAGCGATGGGGTTCCAGAAGCGAATGGATTCCTACAGACCAAGGGAACGCCAGAACAGCAGCAGCCGTGACTCGTCTCGCCCTGCAGGTGGTGGATCTCGATCCAGAACTCGACGCAGATCTAACTCTCAGCAAGCATCCCCTCCCAGAGGTCCTGCAGCGAGTCGCTCATGGAATCACAGTGGACGAAACTTTTCTGCTCCTGATTGGACTTACCACCAGCATGATGCGTCTCGATATAGAGATCAACGTGGTAAAGAAGCATCTTCCGAAGCATTAGGAGAAATCACCAATCGGTCTGCCCTTCCAAGCCCCAGGGCCAGGCCTGGTCGGAGTAGGTCACCCCATGATGATGACGATGAAGATTCACTTTTTGTCAGCGATGGTCCAGGTCCTGAGTTCTTCGAGGACTACGCTGAACCCGAGCCGGAACCTCTTCCTCACCCAGTGCCGACAATACGACAAATGGAAAATCAGGATGGACAGTCAGAGTTTCCGGACGCCTTTCACAGACGTCCAAAACCAATCTCAGCCTCACGTATAGCTTCTGGCATGTACTTCCAAGCTAGAGGAAAGCCAATTTTACCGCCCTTGATGGCCAAACCCAATTCTTCCCAGACCGGGGAAAACGTCCTCAAGCCTCGATACATATCGACCACCAATATTCCAATTGAGGCATCAACCACCCAACCAAAGGCTGCTTCAAAGAAGCCCGTTAGCGATCCGTCGAAGCCTAACACTTCATCAAAACCGATTTCCCCGAAGACTGCTGCTTCTATGAAGGAGGCTGCTCTAGCGAAGGCTGCTACTCTCTCTAAGGCTGCTGCTCCATTGACGTCTGGCACTGGCATGCCTTCCAAGCCTCCTGTTCCCCTCAATACAGACAATAAATCTAGCAGTTCCGCCCATCAAGTCACCAGTACCTTGACCACTAAGAAGGAGCCAAGTCTTTTTTCTCCATTTTCCTTCCCGAGCAAAAGGAAAACCTCAGGAGGCGACAAATCCGTATATCAGGAGCCACAGCAGAGCGTTCATCGCCCTACTCTACCCTCGACATTTGATTCACTGCTTTCCAACAAATCCAGGCCCGAGAACAAACGTGACCCCAAGTCCGACCCAGCATCAACTCGCTCTATCCAGAAACGCAAAGTAGGCGACCTGTTTTCCGCCGCCGATCTCAAGATCATCTGGAAGCAGTGCTTCGAGCAGCGTCAACCCCCCGACCAATCTCGCCTCGGTCACTTCGCACTTCCTATTCCCTCAGACTCACTTCATCTCGTTTCTCCCGCGCAGCTGGAGCGAGCCAAGCGATACTTCGTTCCTGACATTGTCCGATTTGAGGTAACGCCGCTACAGCTCGGAAAGAAGAACTCACGATCAACTCAAGTCACTGCGAGACTGCCTCACTTAGATCCTACTCAAATCGTGGGCCACGAGACTAGTACTCCCGCCTATCACAAGCTGCAGCTTCGACCTTCTACATCCCAAACGGACGGTCTCGCCTGGCCTGTCTTAAGAGCCATGCAAGTCGGCTGGGAGTTGACCGCGCGATGGTACAAGGAAGTCATTGTGGACGGGGGATGGGTTAGTCTGGGTCGTCTTGACCGCGAGGACACCGTCATGTCGGATGCCATGGACATCGATGGCGAGAACGAGAATGACAAGGTCATCACCTCTCGGAACAGCAAAAACCCTATCGGTACAGGGCTCGGTGACTTTGTCGCTAATGAGCTGAAGAAAAATGTGGTGAAGACCAAGCTCAGCCGCGACGAACCTGAGGGGTCTTTGAATGTTGACCGCGAGATTGGACGCTGGCTTGATCACGTTTGGAGGGAGCAGAATTAAGCACTGGACAAAGAGGGACATACGTCTATCTGAGGCCTTGTCGCGGCTCTCATTGGGGTCATTGCTGCGAGGTGCAGTTCTTTCACATATCACCGGCCCAGTGAGTGGGTGCATACTAAATGCAACATCGATGGTACTGCGCTTCCAAGCAATACCACTTACAACTTCCGAGTAAATCTCTGTTGCTTTTTGTTGCTCTCAGCAGCTTCCGTTTGTTTAGTTTTACGAAGTGGTCAGTCAGTATCACTCCCATCCGTACCAGGTTCCGGACAAGGTTTGCATTGTTGTTGGTTTCAGGTTCACTTTGCTACCTCTATTATACGGAGCAAGTGACCGACTATGTTGGAGATACCCCGTGTACAAAACAAGAGCAAACAGGTCGAGCGCTCGTTTCTTACAGACAAGGTTTCAGAGGGCAGGGTTTTCTTTAGTACCCTCCCTTTAGGATCTGTAGCTTTAAGAGCCTCATTTAGTGATGAATTTTCTCTCTTTTACATGAGGTTGCCTGGTGACGTTCTCGAGTTGGGAATGGACCGCCTGATGTCTGTCTCGTTTCCCTGTTATCATCCTATCAGGAATTTGCCGCCAACAACCCCAACCTCTACGGGTGTATTTTATCTGGGAGAAGCGATCTACCGATAGATTGGGCCTTGTCGTCCACTTCATTCCCAAATTATCCAGGCCACACATTTGGTTCCACAACGGCACCTACATCTGTTCCCCGGATTTGGCATGTCCGCCAAATGCTACTCAACGTCTCCCATAGGCTGCACAAGTCGACCAAACGTCAAAGGGTGACATGTTAATATCGAACAATATATCAAATGGAGCCTCGATGACAATCGGCATTTCTAGTTTGTGGAATATGAACGGCAGTTGTGCAAGCCACGGCAGGGTAAACCGTGGACGGGCCATCATGGCTTCTAGGTCTAGATGCCGTGCAACATCCAAGACTTATAAACCCAACCTCATGGTTCCAGGTGACGGTGACTCTATCTTCTCAACCGTTGCCCCTATTTTGTTGAACTCAACGGACATCCGAGTTTCTCATCCTCCTTGGCTTTTAGGCCACCTTCGAACAGCCACTCCACCAAGAAGCAACCCCCCTAGCTCTTCACAGATCATCGACCTTTTCTCCACAATGTTCTGGTCCGCCCTCTTCGCTCTCATCGCGGGCACCGAAGCTTTGCCCCAATTTGGCGGCGGCGGCGGTAACCGCGTCACCATGTTACGATTCGGCTGTGCCCAGGTAGTCATTGACCGGGTCGATCCGCTCGTCAACCCGGGCCAGATCCCCTCTCCCCATGTGCACCAGATCGTGGGCGGGAACGGCTTCAACGTGTCGATGCCTCACACGGACATTTCCGAGCTTGCCAGCTGCACCACTTGCCAGTTCTCCGAGGACTTCTCCAACTACTGGACAGCGAACCTGTATTTCAAGGCTCGCAACGGGACCTACAAGCGGGTGCCGCAGGGCGGTGCGGCGTTGCAGTTCAACGACCAGTTCAGCACGCAGATCAATGGCGGGGTGTTGGTTTATTATGTCTCGGCTGATCCGGGAAAGATCACGGCGTTTAAGCCTGTGAGTGTGATGACCTCCCGTTTTTAGTCGTTGTATCCGGCAGTACCTAGGTAGGTAAATATGACTAATTCGGCCGGCCGGCTGATGTTCACGACGAAACAGGGATTCCGTATGCTCGTCGGCGACCCGAACATGCGGTCGAGACCTGACACCAAGTTGAAGAGACAAAACTGCTACCGTTGCTACACCGGCCCCAACTTTGGCGGCGACGTCGGCGCTCCGTGCCAGGATGACCGAGTGGACTCGGAGGCTCTTCCCAGCAAGCCCTGCCCGGGCGGGATCCGATCCAACATCCACTTCCCAACGTGAGTTTTTTTTTTCCCCGACATGAACTTCCCTTGCATTCATTAGATAGATACTTACCTACAAGATACTGACACCCATGCCCCCCCAAAAACAGCTGCTGGGACGGTAAAAACCTCGACTCCCCTAATCACCGAGACCACGTAGCTTACCCAACCTCTGGGCCCGCCACTTTCTTATCACTGGGCGGCTCCTGCCCGTCCACGCACCCGGTGCGGATTCCCCAGCTCATGTATGAGGTTGTGTGGGACACGGCCAAGTTCAACAACAAGGCCGAGTGGCCGGCCGACGGGTCGCAGCCGTTTGTGCTCAGCACGGGCGACGCGACGGGGCTAGGCCAGCACGCCGATTACGTGTTTGGCTGGAAGGGCGATTCCCTGCAAAAGGCCATGGATACGGCCGGGTGCATGGGCGCTAGGTGTGCTTCCCTCAAGACGCAGAAGATTGAGGATGCGAGGAAGTGCGCGGTCAAGCAGTTGGCTAAGGAGGAATATGATGGCTGTGAGTACCTACTTTTCGCCGTGAACTTTGTGTGAACTTGAATGGGTTGGACTGTGGTTGCTAACGTGTCTTGCTTTTTGATATAGGGCTTACAAAGCTTCCTGGTATGGATATGCCGATGTAAAGAATGCGCTGCTTGTACGTGGTGTTGGTTAGACTTTGGATCTTTGAGTTGGATGCGCTTGTGGTAGAAACTATATGTTGTGACTGTTTTTGTTAAAGTCAGATTTGCAAGTATATGTATGATGACATTGTAACCGGGCGTTGCTGGCCACGGTGTACTCCTCAGTAGCCCATAGCAAGTAACAATACTGCATCAACCCCCCCCCCCCCCCGTTTTTTTCCTTGACCCTGTTCATAGGAACCATCAGGCAGTCCGTTCCACCCTTATGATCCATCTCGCAAGTCTCCTCGTCTGGTCAGGATGCTTCAGCAATAGCCTGTCTCGCCTCGCCTAGTCTCGGCAAGATGTGTTCCTCATTAGCCAAGTGGCAGACAAGGTCGAACATTTCACACCAGATGCCATCGTCTTCGGTCTTGAGTCGATGAAGGTCGTCCTTGTCAAACCGCTTAAAGACCTCCATGAAACAGTCTTCCAAGTCTTTCCACATTTCCCTTTTTGATTTGATTGCTTGTTTGTATGGATTTTCATGTGTGAGTAAGCAGTGCAGGATCTTGTACTGGACGTCCAGAACTAGGAACTTTTCGTCGTAGTGTGTGTGGGGTGGGCGTGATGGAACACAAGCTATAAACGCGTCCAACAATCCAGCGGCCTCGTCCATGGCATCAAGTACACATTCCTGGACGTACTGGACACACTCATCAAAACTATGGCGTTGTCTCCATGTGGGATGGGGGCCGTAGTTCAGTACGACTCGCGACTCTCTCAACATACTGGGGTAGCCAGAGTTGGGGTCCTCGTTCAACCAGGTCTTGACGACGTCGTGAGAAACACAGCCTGTGACGACTCCAAGGCCAGCGTCGCCGTTAATACGCACTCGAAACTTGCAAGCAGGACCGCATTCACCTTTGATATAGCAAAAGGTGAACGGAATGTTCTGATGCTTGCTCATGATTTTGCGCTGCTGGTCCGAAATGGTAGCGTTATACGCCCTCGCTATGAACATGTCAATGGACTGATGTTCGTCTGTTCCAAGTGTCGTCAAGAGCTGGCCGAGGTTGGCGTTGTTGTCTTTGAGAAACTGCCGCATCATGAGGACTTTGTGACCGGTGAAGCTTGGGTAGTGCTCTGGAGCTTTATCCGGGGAGGCATTCTGATGACTGGGGTATCATCCATGCGTCCCATTCTCTGTGTGTATTCCAGTTCTGTCCACTCTTCGTTGTTGGTGGAAGCGGAGCTGGAGACCACTCGGACTTGGTCTCCCGAAGCGGATGCCATTATGCTGTGTCTGTTGCTTCCGGATGGAGTGCGAAGGGTGGTTGAGAAACTGGAGTAAGAGGATGTACGAAGATGAGGAACCAAATGGTGTACCGTGGGCTGAGACGATCCATTTATCCAAGGTAAGCACAGACCAAGTGTCCATGGATTTGGGACCATTCTTATCGTAAACGAAAGCCAATGGTAAATTAGGACCACAATGTTCATGGCCAATTAAGAGACTCATCATTATCTGATTCTGAGATTGATCTTACGTGAACACCAGCAACGAAAGTCCTGTAATAAAGTAGATGTATGTACCTCATGTTGACGCAGTCCGGGCCGCATACTGCAGAAGTGATGGTGCTGATACATATGGCCGGTGGTGGGGGATCAAGGAATGGATAAACCCCAAGGGTGATTGTGAAGGAAAAAAGTTGGAGAGCTTCAAAGATCTGGACAAATGCTGGATTCCAGAGAGGAAAAGAAACGGCCTCAAGCTAAAGGCAAGCAAAGGCCCAGATCCTGAACATGTCTTTCTCTGTTCTTGCCTAACCAAGGAACCATCTTTCGGCTGGCGGTGAACTCCTTCCTTCAGTCAAAGGGTCCTTCTTTGGCTGGTGGTGGCTTCTTTCCAATACCGAGGGCTCCTTCCATGTAGATACTGATTCCTTCCTTCGTAACCGGACTTTGCTGTTTGCATGATGGGACATGCAAGGAAGGTGGGGGTGGCCGTAATGAAGCAATTCATGAAAGAGAAGTTGATTAAGTAGATTTGGCATCACTAAGTAATGAATACATCGATGCTGATAGTTCACTGCCCTCCCACCAATGGCACCGGGTACCAAATTGTGTTTCTTCCTCCCACAATCACTCTTCCTTTCCATCGTGGATCTCAAGATATCTAGCCCATTACCGCCTACCAGTACGCCAGCTCTCCATCAGCAGCTCCATTGCCATCAATTACAAACGCGACATCGTCCTCGGACTTCCCACAGAATTCATCCGCCGTATAAAGCACGACACCCGCATGAAGCAGCTTCGACAAGGGCTCCTGTTCCTGAACCAGGTCCTTCAGTTCAAAGAACTTGTCGCGCCACACTCCGCCGTCTTCCGTAGCAAGCCGATAGAGATCGTCCCTGCTGCAGCTTCCAAATACCTGCAGAAAGCAGTTCTCCAGATCCCTCCACAGCTTCCTGTTGGTCTTGATGTACCGCTTAACGGGTGTTTCCGCCTCGGTAAGCAGGCAGTGGAAGATCTTGTACATGGTGTCCATGGCGAGAAACTTGGCTTCGTACGAGGGCAATCCGTTCTCGTTGTTGGATGGGTCCACGGTTGAGGCAACCGAACGGAGAATGTCGTGTACCCTAACAGCGGCAACCTTGGGCACGCCAACCTCTGTCTGCCCTGGCAACCACGGTGTGTTGAGATCGCAACCTGCGTTCAGGTCCTGCCGGGCTTGGGCTAGCAATGCTCGGTAACCGGCTTCGTCGGTGTCGGCGTTGCCCTCTGGAACGGTACATCCCAAAGCATGCGCGGGAACTGGGCCGACGAGATCGCAGAACATGTCCGGGTCCCAGGTCTCGTCGAACTTGCGTGTACACCAGCACTCGGCGTCGGCAAAGGTGAAAGGCTTTTGTTGATGACGGCGCAAGTTCATAATTTCGCGCTGCTGGTGCTCGATGGTAGCGTTATAGGCCTTGGCGACGAAGAGGTTCATGGACTCTTGCTCTCCGTTCGTCCCGAGTGTCTTCCAAAGCTCGGAAAGACTGGCGTGGTTGTCTTCGAGGAATCGGTACATCTTGAGGACTTGGTTGTCGGTGAACTTTGTGTTTTTCTCGAGGTTGAGGCGACGAGGAACTTTGATGATGGTGCATCCATCGACGCTTTCCAGCTCGTGGGTATGAAACAGATCGGTTTCTTCAATATCCTTGTTGTTGGCGGCGAGCACATCCTGGGGTTTGTAGATTGAAGAGAATGCCATGGTCTCGTAAACGGAATAGAATGCCATGGTGAGTGATGTCTGCGATGCTGGTCGCTGAGTGTCTAAGTGGAAAGATATGGGAAAAGAGTTTGAAAAACAAGTGCTTGTTGTTTTGAATGATTGTTGTCATGTCAAATCCCCTCGAAATTGTTCAGAGTTGTCGCCTATTTGTATCCGGAATCTCTTCTACGGAGCTGAAGACAAAGGGGCGGATGACACTTCCCATCGTGGAATTAGAATTGTAGCCTCCCGTCACCATGGTTCGTTATCCCAATACAGTTCCGCTCCTACAGCGGCTAGAGTAGCGGCGTCAGCACCAACAGTGATTCTGCAATAAATTTTTCTCCAAAGGGGCGCAGGACTGTTCCCACCTTGCAGTTAGGGTCGTCTTCCCGAAGACTCCTGGAGCCTCTGCGCAAGTTCAATTGCCCATGGTGACGTGTATGTGATGGGAAAAGGCCGTAATTAAATGACCTTGGTAATCGTTCTTGGACTGTGAAAGGGGTGGCAGTGAAATGTGATGCCAAAATAGAAATAGCCAAAGGGCAGATCTCAGGAAAATGGGGTGTCGTATGCAGTAGTGCAAGCTGCTATAACCGCGACAGCTGAGATGTGCCTCTCTCGGTAGAAGTGTTTGCAGATGGAAAGAAATCCGTGAGTCGACTAATGTCGAGTTAACCCAAACTGGCTGTCTGGGATCTGCGTCTGCTGTCATTTGGAAGTGCATCAAGGACAGGATACCTACGCAGGTATCGTCAACACGCATGATGCATCCTACCTTTACGAGGTTACGCCAACAGAAGTTAGATTGGTATCAGGCGAGCGCAAAAGACGAAAACTCGGTGACTCCTCAATGACTTGGACATTACGTATAGTGCAGTTTTCTTTATACCCACCAAATCACCCAGACTTCGAATTCCTTTGCAACTTCTGGCTCCTCCATCACCTCTTGACATCCATCCTCACATTTACCAACGCTTCCCGTTCCTCGTCCCTCTGATTCAGTCCTGAACCATCAAGCCCATCTCCCACTCCCACTACCACTTCCACCACATACACTCCTCGGCAGCATGCCCAACGGGTTCTGAATTCAGAACCGGCTGTTCCCTCCCATTCAGCCAACTATAAGCTATATACGAGCAATCCGGAAATACCTCGACTCCCGCGAGAGATGAACGAGAATTCTTCTTATTTCTGGAAACATCTGTGTAATCAGCCGTGTTGGCTAAGCGTGCAAAGGAAAAGGATCGCCATTTTTTTCTTCACACGGGAAGTAATCCGCTCAGCTACCCCTGCACCAGCGCGTAGTCTTTTTGCGGTTGTATTCCAAAGAGTTGTAACGTCTTTGCACAGTTTGTCTCGTGGTATGCCGCCATGTTAGCTCTTTTTGCATCTCGTTGCTGGAAAATGTAGCCCTAGGGAGTGTCCAGTTGCAGTCTCGCTTTTTCCATTGTTGGCTGACATGTGTTATACAGTTCCCTTACAACCTACCATGTGGGGAACTACCATCGCTCATACTTTGAAGTTTCTGTCCGTCACCTGTTGTCAGGAGTAAGGGAACCTAAGGTATGAGATGGAAACAAGTACCGGTTGTTCGGAGGAGGATATGGCGGGGGACAACATAAAGCACTATGTACAAGAATGTAGACTCAAAGACTCATTCCTTGTCAGGTGACACACGTTCTGGATCGACCAGAAGTATCCAATATTGACTTCCATCCAATACCATGATGACATGCCACGCAAAGGAAACCAAAACCATCATCCAATGATTCACAATTCCCAGCCGATCCCCTAAGGGTACCCTGGCGAACCCAAGGCATCTACATATGCATCGAAAGTGATAGCAGCCGGCTTCGCACTCATGATATTCCCCGGAAACGCCGAGTCTTTGAGCGCAATATTCGCCTTCCCAAAATCGTGCGCATACAGCAAGTCCCTAATCCCCGCCGGAAACCCATTATACGAAACCAATGGGCCCCTGAACCAGACACCCTTGGCATTCTCAATGGCATCATCCGCCGCGTCCGCGAACCGGAAGCAGTGCGTGTTCGCCCCATCCTTGTGGTAGACTATTTTGGGATGCTCCCCATCCCACCTGACATCAGCGGCGGCCTTGATCTGGTAGCCGCCGTGCCGAGAGGCGGCGACGTACTGGGCTTTGTTGTTTGCGTCCACCCAGACGGCGATGTGCTCCCAGTCGTGGGTATGGCCCGCATCGAGCAGGTAGGGGATGGCTACGTCCTTCTCGAAGTAGTAGTCATAGAGATAAATGCACCAGCCATTGGCATTGCAGCGCTGTCGCGAGTAGACGTTGTTGTTGTCCAGGTCGGACAGGTCACGGCAGTCGGAGGAGGGAGAGACGAAGTTGTGAGGGAGGCCTTGGGCGATGGTGCCGTCGGCGCCAATGGCTGGGACGTTGTAGCAGCCGTCGGTGTCAAAGTCGAGAGAGGGCTGCCACCGGAGGTCGTTGGCGGTGGCGGCTTGGGGCAAGGCGGTGGGTGGGTTGACGGCTACTCCCCAGAGGTGAACATCATCCAGTGTGGAAGAGGAGGGGGAAGGGGGAGTAAAGGTGGTGTTCCTGGGCACGGTGAGTGCCGAAGCGCAGGCCGCAAAGAAGAGGGTACGGAATGCCATGTTGACGACTTGGTCTGGCGGCTTCTGAGGCGGTAAACGAGGGATGCCCGGCCGAATGCTCTTCACTTGAAGTCCGATCGAACGAGACCTCCGATCCATCTTATATGGACATCCATCGACGGCACTTGCGGTGCGATAACCGGACAGCTTTCAGGTCAAGGGTTCGACAACCTTCCTATTCGGGATCAAGGATACCCATCCGACTGCAACCACAAGGATACGATGAAGCATCGGGCGTTGGCTTGCGCAGAGTATGTACCGCCGTTTCTCACTCGATATGGTCCTCATCAACTCACTAGCAGATTGGTCGAAGCCAGATATACCACCCGGCGCTATTCTTGGTTGAGTGAAACCATATCGAGTGAACATATGCGGTTTCATACTGGCATGGGAGCAGATCAGTCATGTTGTCATCGAGTCGTGAACATTGTCTCTGGAAAGGGGTGTTGCGAAAAGAGAAATTTCGTCTCAGGTTCTCGGCTGTTGTTCATGATGGTGTTGGCACGTTTTCCCCGATGTTGGATGAGGTGAATTTCCACATGTTGACTTGACGTTCGAATCACGGGCAGAATTGGCGAAAATACAGCAGATCAAGGGGGGTGTTGCTGCAGACTCGAAAGGTCAAATGGGCGACTGAGAATGAAGCTGCAGGTGATGCTGGACCAGATTCAGGGGCAGGGTTCCCCGCCCAATGAGCGGCCGTGACGACGATGCCATGGCCTGGCCGCCGTCAGCCATTGGAGGACAAAACCACCATGTTCTTGCCGAGAAGGCCACTCGCCAGTACCCGATGCGACGTTTTGAACGTGGGAGGTAACCTTCCGGCAGGTCAGTTCATGATCGGAAGTATATGACAGCTGGAAGCAATCAAGGACGGATGACTTTTTTTTTTCAGTATCAGACAGATTATCAGGCGGCAACTGTCACGAAATGGATCGCTGAGGACGGTAGTGGAGGTGAGCCTAGGAGAGTGACATCCATATTGTATTAGAAAGTAAGAAAAAACTGTCATGGGCTTTCTTAAGCAAGGGCGGACAGAAAGAAGCAAGCAGCAGATCAAAGGAAAAAATCACGTCCGTTCTAGTGAAAGAGTGAGTGATGAAAGCAATGCTCGAAGTTGACATTCACATCATGAGGTGTCGTTCACACGGACCCATAATCTGTCAGCTGCCAGTCAGGAACAGCGACTTTGCCAACTGCAATGCTTTGGGGAGCAGCTGATTCTACCCAACCCCGCATATGTAAGTACACTACTGTAGTGTTAAGTAACAGTGTTGCCTGCCGCTGACTCTCGTCGGTAGAATGTTCAGACGGGACGAATGCCCAAGCTCCACCAAGCTGATGGATGCCAAGACGAAAGGCATCCGGATTCTGGAGTTTGGATCGATGAATGGGAATTCTAGAAATCACCATTCGATCCATCTTGTGTTGACCTGTGATGGTCATTTCACTTACCTTACTTCACCCAGTACAGTCAACCGTCTCAACGATGCGCCCGAACCATGACACCACGCAGCTCCCATGGCCTCGGTAACGACAGCAACTTGAACAACAACATTTACACCCGAGATGCCCTGGGCGGCATTGGCAATCACCCCGGCGGCATCAACACCGGCATCCTTCCTGTCATCCCCTCCGATGGCCAGCTCCCGGACAAGGCCCCCTCCAGTAATGCCGCCACGGGCGCGTCCGCTGCCGGCGTCAGGGCCTTGGCTTCCCAGGTGTTGACCTTCTACTTCCGCGCACCCGCAAAGGCCTTCTTCCGAACCAGAGTCGACTACCTCGCCTATGCGCGCGCCCTACAGGAGCAGCAGGCTATGCTACTCAGTCAGCTCCATGTCCCCTCTCAGGTCCTCACCACGGCCGCGCGAGCTGGCGCCCCGACTGCTGTCCGCCAGATATGGGAATGGGTTAGGGTGCGCGCCAGGGCAACAACGCCGGGTGTGATTGCCTCCGCTGTGAAGCACTACGGCTGGCGCGTCGTCCCGGACCAGGTTCTCCCTCCCTTGATCGCCAATGTGACTGTTGGAGCTGTCCTGTATACCAGCTACCTCCACATTCTCGGCCATCTTCATCCGGAAAGCAGACTCGCCAGCAAACGTGTGTATCCGCCTCCCTCGCCTCTCGAGACCTTCACTGCTGGCTTCCTGGCCGGCACTTTGCAGAGTGTGATAGCTGCCCCTCTGGACGCCGTCCAGGCAAGATACGACATTGGCCAATACGCCGGCACATCGACCACGCCCGCGAGCGGCAATGCCAGTGCTGTCCGACCAAAGAGCATGTGGGTCTTTAGCTTTGAAAAGATCAAGGAGATCGGTGTGCGCGGAATCTTTGCCGGCTGGACCCTCTCCTTCCTCAAAGACAGTCTAGGAAGCGCCATCTTCTTTAGCACCTTTGAGTATCTCAAAGCCCAGGGCTACTACAACTTTGTGTCCTGGTATTACGGCTCCCTGAACAAGGAATCCATCATTCTCCTCTCCGAGAAGCAACCATCCTCAGAATCAGGTAGAGAAGACAGCGACGACCCCCGCATGCCTGCCA